TAGCCGGTTGAGCCACAGGCGCCGAGCCCACATTGTTCTTTTTGAGTTGTCCAAGTTAACATAGGTGATAATGACTATTAAGTTGGTCATAACCTGAGTTCTAATCTTGATTCTGCCACTTACTCCTTAATAGTAAATGTGGCTTTGGGCAAATAATTTAACTTCTGAGTCTCAGTGTCTTCATTTTTATAATGGGAATAATATCAACTTTGTACATAATGCAGCTTAAATGACATTGTAATAAGCACTTTCCACAATTCCTGGCACATGGCAGATGTTCCCTAAATAGTGGTAGTAGTTATTGTTGCTCTTATAATTACTGGATTGTACTCATAGCATAAAAGACAGGAATATTTAAAAAGTACCTTCTTCCCTCCCCCTCTCCCCTGCTTCTCTTTTCTAAGAGAAAAGGAAAACAAATAGGGGACAATGATGGATCTTCTGATCACAAAGGTCTGAAATGAAATTCATTCATAGTTCAGAGGAACCTTTAAATCTAGGTACTCTGGGGGCCTTTGAGGAGGGAAGTGGGTATAAAGAGACAGAAAGGAGTCTGGGATACTGCTTAGGTGGTCAGCTGTGGTGAGAAGAACCACATGGCCACTGTCAGGCCCAGAACCACATTCTTTCATTGAGGTAGCACTAGGATGAGGTCAGAAGTCACACAGTACAAAGGCAGGGCCTGCTTCCAAGCAGCAAATGAACAGGAAGAAACATCAATGGACATTTGTCTGGGTCAGTTGGCGACTGCCAGAAGGAGTAGAAGTCTAAGACTGTACATGTTTCTTGAGTGATAATCTCAAAAAACTGCACAAAAATGTTAATGTGCATTATAGAGTACTTTGCATATGGAGAATGTATTCCATTTTCAGTAGTCATAATTTATTTGAAGGAGTTCATAGTTGTTTAAAGCATATGTATCTGGTAATCTAGTGAATTCTAATACTGATCTGTTTCTAATTCTGTAAATTAATTCTAATCATTTTCTATCTGCCAATGACTTTCTTTTCCTGCTGTGCTCTCAGGATGAAGACAGCTTCCTAGAAAAGGTAATGCTATCCATTGGTGGTTATGAGAGTTTTTCTTATGCTTGATTAACACTTAACTGTGGTCCTTGGAATTTGTCTCTAGACATTCCCATATCAGAGACCTCTGACTTGGTGATAATCCCCTGAAGTCCCGCCAGCTGTCTTTAAGTATATAAGTACAGGAAAGATGTTTATTATACCAGTCAAGTCACTGAGACTCAGTACAATAAAAGCAGTAGGACTCAAGGTTCTATATTTGTGTTTTTGAAATAAGAACTACAGAGCTGTCTTGATATATCTGAAAGCCCATGAATTAGAGGAGGGTACCAGCTAGCTGTCCTCTATTTCTAATGACAGTATACACAGCCATAGATTTCTGTTGCATTAAAAATTATTTGGTGTTGAGCGATGCCTGTGGCTCAGTGAGTAGGGCGCCAGGCCCATATACTGAGGGTAGCAGGTTTGAACCCAGCCCTGGCCAAACTACAACAACAATAAAAAAATAGCCAGGCATTGTGGCAGGCGCTTGTAGTCCCAGTTACTCAGCAGACTGAGGCAGGAGAATCGCCTAAGCCCAGGAGCTGGAGGTCTCTGTGAACTATGACTCCCCAGCACTCTACTGAGGGCGACAGAGTGAGACTCTGTCTCTTAAAAAAAAAAAAAAAAAAAAAAAAAAAAAAACAATTTCGTGTTAGTGATAATAGCAATTAATTACTGAAAGAGTATACAGATACAGTTAAGAAAGAGAGCATAGAGTAGAATCATGGACCTGATTGAGATCATAAGAGATCATCTGGTCCAGCTCTCTGCCTTCAGACAAGGTAAGGTATTTTCTTCATTTTAACAGAAAAGACAACCAAGGTGCTTTCAGTTGAGAAACTTGCTAAAGTAGTACTGTTCCTGACAGCAGAGGTGTGGAGTGGAAGGCACTACAACCCAGGTCTCCTGATTGCCCAGTGAAGCACCCCTTCTGCAATGCCTCCCTCCCTCTCCATCTTCAACCTGAGAGCACCTGGCTCCATAGAGGACTATCAAGTAGAGAAGCAGGAAATTAATAAACACTCCTGAAGCACTTTCATAAGAGTATTTGATGGATCTTCCCACTGGTGGAGTTTAATGTATTTCAATGATGGGGATAGCATAGTGTTTTTATGCTTTAGATGTTACCACAAAGGTATGAAGTGTGGGCTTATTAGGCACTGAATGTGTCTTGTTGAAAGAAGACAAAATGTCTTGGTTTTCCTTTGAAAATCAGAGTTCAGAATTATTTGTGAATTTTTTTTTCCTGAGACAGAGTCTTTCTTTGTCACCCTCCGTAGAGTGCTGTGGCATCATAGCTCACAGCAACCTCAAACTCTTGGGCTCAAGTGATTTTCTTGCCTCAGCCTCCCAAGTAGCTGGGACTATGGGTGCCGGCTTCAATGCCCAGCTATTTTTAGAAACGGAGTCTAGCTCTTGCTCAGGCTGGTCTCAAACCCATGAGCTCAGGAAATCCACCTGCCTCAGCTTCCCAGAGTGCTAGGATTACAGACATGAGCCACCACACCAGCCCTCTATTTGTGAAATTTTTAAAAGTATTGTTTCTTGTGCATGATTATTCTCTAGACTTCAGAGACACAAGTGTGACATTCTTTATTATCACACATGAATTTCAAAATGGATAGTGAGTGATGTATATAACCTACTGACATTTTATTAACCTTTTTAAACCACTAAACTTTAAGACAGCTTTGTTTCCCAGCCCTTCCCTGTTAAGAGCAGTTCATGTTCTGTCTTTTTATCTTGGGCAATGCCTTGTGTTGCCTTAATACCTTAGTACAGGAAAAGCTCTAGTTAGATGTCAGATTTTTTTGAAAGTACATGAATCAGTGCTGAATAATTTATATATGATAAGTTTGGAGACATCTGCTAAAGAATCTGTACATGTGTTGTATTTGGTCCAAAAAGTTAGCACAGTGCTTTATGGGCAGTGTTTTGGCTAAGGTATAATGTGGATGCCTGGATTTAATGCTTAAAAATGGAAAGAAGTCAGTGGATAAGCCACTGATAGAAGTTCTGGCAACTATAGGGAACATGAACAAGTGATAGAATCCCAGAGAAGGAGAAGCAGCACACTGTAAAAAAAAAAAAAAAAAGATTTTAAATGGTATCCAACTGTCATACTCCTTACTGTAAGAAGGAAAAAAAAGGGGGGGCAGCACATATGGCTCAGTGGGTAGGGCACTGGCCCCATATACCGAAGGTGGCTGTTCAAACCCGGCCCCGGCCAAACTGCAACAAAAAAATAGCCAGGTATTGTGGCAGGTGCCTGTAATCCCAGCTACTTCGGACTAAGAGAATCCCCTGAGGCAAGAGAATCGCCTAAGCCCAAGAGCTGGAGGTTGCTGTGAGCTGTGTGATGCCACGGCACTCTACCAAGGGCAATAAAGTGAGACTCTGTCTCTACCAAAAAAAAAAAAAAAAAAAAAAAAGAAAGAAAAATAGATTTTAAATGGTAATCAACTGTCATGCTCCCTTCTCTTCCTCATTCTCTTACAAAGGCTTTAAAAGGTCATCACTGCTTATTAAAGTGCACAGCGTTAAGAAGAGCCATACTATGGTCTCTGTGAGAGTAGTGAAATACTCAATTTTCTTTCCCTTAAAGCTACTTGGCTGGGGCTCATGGATGGAATTTATGGGTTGCACAGTGTTGAACAAGAATTTCCTGAGGTTAAACATACAGAATGTATGACCTTAAGCTGGAAATAGTGGAGAGAGGAGTATAAAAGAGCTTGGTCATCGTTTTCTCCACAAAGATTTTTCTGAAGGCTGCCTTCAAATGCCTTTACTATTTCAAACATCTTTTTTCATATAATTTATACTTGATTACATAAACATAAGACAACTAAGTTTATTTCCTCGCCATTTTCAAATTTCAATCATTCATTGGTCTAATTTTTGTTACTTCTGGATTTTTCTCTTACATTCTTTCAGAACAACCTGATAACAGAAAGGTAGGTGAAAGGACAGAAAGCCCTCAGAAATTTGTGTTGAGCTATTAATATAGTCAGTAACTTCTGGATTCAGACTCTAGACTTTTCATGGTATTTCTGTCTCTTGCTTTGCTGTCTTGAGTTTACTATTTTTAGATATTAAAGCTTAGGAGTTTTGGTGCCTTACGGTTAAAACTGCCATCAAGTCTAAGGTATTCATATATGTGGGTCTAATATGGAAAATTGTTTAATTCCTGAGGGCCAAGAAACTTAATTTAAATCAACAGTGAAAGCAGTAGTATTTGTGCCAAGACCTGAAGAAGGAATAAGTTAAAAGTAAACTAAGCGTAGACCCTGGTCTCTCAAGTATTATATTGACAATGAAATTTAATGGTCTGTAAATCACCCTGGTGTGTAGACTTATACTGTGACTATATCACTGGAACCCTGATTCTCAAGTATTTAAGACACAATGTAACCATATGATAAACACTGTAAACCCAGGGCGATGCCTATGGCTCAGTGAGTAGGGCTCTGGCCCCATATACCAAGGGTGGCAGGTTCAAACTAGGTTCCGGCCAAACTGCAACAACAAAAAATAGTCGGGCACTATAGTGGGCGTCTGTGGTCCCAGCTACTTGGGAGGCTGAGGCAAGAGAATCGCCTAAGCTCAAGAGCTGGAGGTTGCTGTGAGCTGTGTGATGCCACAGCACTCTACCGAAGGCAACAGAATGAGACTCTATCTCAAAAAAAAAAAAATTGTAAACCCAAATGAAATGTTTAACAATTAAGTGAGGCATTTAGGAAAGAAGGTGCTTTAACTCTGGGAATCAGTATCAAGTGCTATCTGAGCAGGGATGTCCCCAATTAGAAGAAATGAAAAGTCTCAAGAGATGAAGATCACATTGTACCCACATGACCAGAATTTGAAGGAGATTAAGTTGCACAGAGAATTCTTTATTCTAAGATTACTTAGTTCTCATCCCCTTTCATCTCTCAGGAGAAATCTCCTCTGCAAATGGTTCCCTTGGATGAAGGTGCCAGTGAGAGACCTCTTCAGGTCCCCAAGGAGATCTGGCTTCTAGTAGATCACTTATTCAGATATGCCTGTAACCAGGTAAGTGAGACTAGATCTTCCCTGCAACATTGGAAGGTGTGCAAGTCCTGTAGGATATTATAATACCTCATGCCAGCGTAGTGCTTTTAACGTTGCCAAGCTCCCTCCACACAGCAGCACTGTCCAGTTACCCAGGCAGGTGGAAATATCCCTATTCATAAATATGACAGCTGAAGCATGTGTGCTAAGTATTTACCTAAGACCACAGTCTAAGTGTAGTGGCAGAGCCAGGGCCGGAACTGAGAACGCCTATCTCCTGGCTGCACACTATTTTTCCGTGGACAGCTTTGTACCTGAGGCAGTAATGTTTACTTTAGCTGTTACAGATTTTCAAATCCAAAGCAGACTTTAAGCCCATTTCTTTAACTTGGTCCTGATTTTTCTTTTAAATCCTATTTAAAATACTAACCATCCCAACCCATTCCCCCAAAAAGAAAAATTTCTTGGGACCAAATTGAAATGTAATATTCTCTTATCAACTAAAGAATAATATAACTTGAAAGCAAGACTTAATATGAGCATGCAGTTTACTCCTTCCCCGGGGTTTAGTAGTATTAGCATTTGAATGTGATTAGGACTCTGCCTTCTGCTTCTTCTCAAGAGACTAAAGGTGGAACACTTGGTTTCCTAATTTAGCCATCTAGTCGTATTTATCAGGTATAGGCTAAAACCTTTGAAGACTATTTTATTATTTGAAATAAAATTTTAACATATTATAGACATTATATTGGGTAAAGATGATATTTTTACACCTCCATTCCTAATCACTAATATGCATATCACCCTTCCCTTTTGTTTCTTGCTGCTCTTCTAATCCCTGGGTTATCTTTAGAACCATAGGGTTGATTATCTTGTCTGTTTACTTCATTCTTATTTCTTTGCTAGGAGGACCTATTCCAAACCCCTGGAATGCAGGAAGAGTTACAGAAGATCATTGATTGTCTGGATACTAGCATTCCTGAGATAATCCGTATCCTTTTCTACCCAAAGTTTAAGAAGCTAGATGAGTACTTGGCCAAACTCTTCTTTGTACCTACATTTGACTTTTATGCTTCTATATTTATTTTCTTTGTAATTGTATTTTATTATAAGATAATCACTATTTAGTTGTTTCTCAATTTCCTTTCAGGAACTTTTGACCTCTCTCTGTATCAAGTTCTTACTAAAAGGGAGCAAGGCTTTTAATAGGCTTTTGGTAAGCATGGACTTTTAATAGGCATGGAACATAGAAGCCACAACACTGATGCAGTTCAGGCACTTGATGACTCTTGCCACCACATGTACTGTCACTAGGGCAAGGGGAAGGATTGGATACCTTGGAAACTGGTTTATAGGACTGGTCTAGTGTGAACTCTTACTCTTTAGACCAGGGGTCCTCAAACTTTATAAACTGGGGGCCAGTTCACTGTCCCTCAGACCGTTGGAGGGCTGGACTGCAGGCCTCTGGACAAGTAGGCTACTAAGCAGGACAGGCAGTGGCGGCAAAAACACCCAGCGGGCTGGATAAATGTCCTCTGTGGGCCGCATGTGGCCCATGGGCTGTAGTTTGAGGACGCCTACTTTAGACTATATTCCCCTGACTCTAAATTTGGCCAAAGCTCCCAAGAGTCTTTGACCAATTCTGTAACAACTGAGCTGCAGAGTACATGGGCCAACAAAATTTCCCCAATTAGGATCAATGTGCCTTGAATAGGAGGGGGGAAATAGTCTTTGTAGGAGCTTGAGGACGGGAACCAATCAGGTTTCTGTGTGGCCTTTCTCCTGAAGCCCCTTTCCCTTGACTTGTTGATTCAGCTGGCAGTAATCACTCTGTGGCTGAAGCACTGCTCATTTTCCTGGAAGCCCTACCAGAGCCAGTCATCTGTTATGAGCTATATCAGCGATGTCTTGATTCTGCTCATGATCCCCGGGTCTGCCGACAGGTGAGTTTTACTGATCTGAGGCTGTGTTAGGTGCAGGTTCCCTCATAGAGAAATCATCAATTTTATAAGGCCAGGTATGCAGCCAGCTGTGAGGTAGGGTGGGTGTGGATCTGTTATTCATGGCAGGACAGCAGCATTGAGGGTTGAGACCCTTAAATTTTAGGTTGTGTTATTTCCTATGTATTTACCACCTTTCCCTAGATGGCCTATTTCTGTTTACAGAAAACATAATGGGGTGGATACCTGTACTCTGGGGTAAAATTGGTGAAGCTGATCATACATGGAATTCTGGCTGACATTAGCAGGAAAGGTGGGCTTCACTTGGGAGCCTTTCTTCTCTGTGTGGTTTTAATCCTGAAATGATTTTGGTGCACAACAGCTGAGACTACCTGTGAATTAGACTAGTGAGTATGGAAAGGAGGACCTCATGCATGCTAAGTGACATTGTAGAGAAAACCCTTCAGCTTAGTAGATACCATGACTACCTGTCTGGGGAGATGGAAAAAGAACAGATTAACACCAACCTGCCTGTGAGGAAGGGGGTGCATGTGAATGTGTGATGACCACATGGCCTGATCATTGAGTGGACTGGAGCCAAAGTATGACCATTTTTACTTCAAAGTTACAATTTGGCAGGTATTATGTTGATCATGAGCAACCAAAAAGAGTAGTGACAGATGAATGGGGTCTTGTAAGGGTTGGATTATAAACTATTTTTATAGCAGCTGTGAATTCCTCTTACTCCCTTCTTCCACCTGTTTTCCTCACTGCCCACCCCCTTTTTTAAAAAAAAAAACAGGTGATTTCCCAGCTTCCAAGATGCCATAGAAATGTTTTTCGTTACTTGATGGCATTTCTTCGCGAACTCTTAAAATTCTCTGAATACAACAACGTCAGTGCCAACATGATTGGTAAGAGTGCTCATGAGAATGGCTGCATGGGGGTGTTTGTCAAGGACAATCTGTGTGCACTGTACACACTGTATACCTTATTGGATGTCTAGGCACATGGCAGTCACTTCCATCCTACTGACCTCATCCCCAGGGCCCCTTACCCCCAGCCCTGAGGTTGTGCATAGGTTATGCCTGATAAAGGTTTCCCTTTTCTTTCTCTCACCTTCTAGCTACTCTCTTCACTAGTCTTCTCCTAAGGCCTCCACCCAACCTTTTGGCAAGACAGACTCCAAGTGACCGCCAGCGTGCTATTCAGTTTCTTCTGGGCTTTCTGCTTGGGAACGATGAAGACTAAGGCTTTTCCTCTTACTACTCTCCGAGATTTTAGAGGTGGAACATCTTGGGCTCCAAGTATTTCAGAATGGTTTAAAAAAAGTCATGCCACAGGAAGGGTCTATTTCAGAATTTCAAGTTCTGTTTATAGTGTAAAAGGAAAAGAGTTTCCTAATCCATCTTTTGCCGTATCCTTCACACAAAATACTTTTAGACTTACATTGCCAAGCCAAAGTTACCGTATTTTGGTGTGTTTGTGTTTTCTCTTTATAAGGCAAAGAGATATGTATCTACACTCCTTTATCTAGGGATGTGTTTGTTTCCCTCCTATCCAATTGTCGTATTTGTCCTTGGTACCCTAGGCCTAGATTCTGAGATGTGTCCATTCTAGGCCTATAAGCACTACTTGGCGTAGCTCAGACTTGTCTGTAGTCCTTCATATAAAGCACTTTTGACTCACCTCCTCCCCATATCACTCCTTTGCACTCCACTCCCGTCGTTCTATAACTTTGAATGAAGTCTGAGTGAGGCTAGTGACTCCTTGGGTGTCCTCAACAGTGAGTTCACTGTGTACATGTGGTTGTTAACATGGGTTTGTGCATTTCTACTACAATGGCATCTTTATGTCTCTGTAACATTGGCCTTTTTATGAATCCACATTGAGTGGAACCATATTCTTTTGTCTCAGATCGCATTTAGTAGCATAACTTACTACTAGTAGGGACGATTAGAAATGACATCCCATTGGTGCCAGAGAATCACAATCAGAATGGGAAGCACTTTGAGTATTTGAAGAGTGAGAACATTCATGTTTGACAGGTTTTACTTCCCACTGTCGCTTTCTCGTCATTCAAATTTTAGATAACGACTAATCCTGGGTGTCTGTGGAACCCATATCCTACTTAGAAATCCACCTCCAAGGCTGGGCACGGTAGGTAGCTCACACCTGTAATCTCAGCACTCTGGGAGGCCAAGGCAGGAAGATTGCTTGCACTCAGGAGTTCAAGACCAGCCCAAGCAAGAGTGAGACCCCATCTCTAAAAAATAGCTGGGCATTATAGCGGGCACCTGTAATCCCAGCTATTTGGGAGAATGAGGCAAGAGGATTGCTTGAGCCCAAGAGTTGGAGGTTGCTGTGAACTATGACACTACAGCACTCTACCTAAGGTGACAAATTGAGACTGTCTAAAAAAACAAAAGAAAAGAAAGAAAGAAAGAGAGAGAAAGAAAGAAAGAAATCCACCTCTAGAGCAACACTTGCACCACAATATAAAAGGGGGTCTATTTACCTCAGGTAGGCCTGTCTAGAGCTATCGCTCCTTCTCACAGCAAGGGTAGTGAGTATGACTCTTAGAACCCCTGCGCTGGTATTCTGAAGTACCAAGGAACAGATGTTACCTCCTCCCTCAGCAGAGCTGACTGGGCTCACCACCATCTCCTACAAGAAAAACGTTTTAGAGACTCCCCTTGGCTCCCAGTCATCATGGCCAATGCTGTTCATAAGACTGATCAGTGTGACCAACCATGTACCTTACCCACTTAAGTTGACCCTCTGGGCTTTTCATATATTTAAGCTGTATGGGGCAGCCTTTTTAAAAATAAATTGATATTGATTGACAAACAAGCCACCAGCCACTGATTGCAAAACTGCCTGCTGCAATTGGCTTCCTCCTGGTTTTCTTCAGTTACAACCTCCATGAAGTGACCCATTCTTGTCTGGTAGCATCAGAGGCCAGGAGCATAATATACAGGATTCTTGAGCATTTACTCCATGACTCTTCTAATGCATCCAAGCCACCACCACCAAATGATTCTCCAAACCCCCATCTCTTAAAAAATGAGTTCTTTAGCAAAAAAAAAAAAAAAAAAAAAAAAGGTACGTATCCTGCAATATGCTGGCTAAACCCTTTCCTGATTTAGAGTTATGGAAATAGGAGTCACTACTGATGCCAAATAGCTGAAGATATGATAGATCAGGGGCTGAATGTTGAACTTAATGGAATGGCAGACTGAGACCAGAACAGTTTTGTCATCTCCATTAGGCCAGAAAGTAATCTCGAAAAGAGGCAGGTGATAGACACTAGGACAAGGTCCTAACACAGGGAAGTACCTTTCCTGGGCCCGTTTTATAGTGTATTGCTGAACTGGGACCTTTTTTCTTTTGCAGTTTTTGGCTGGGGCTGGGTTTGAATCCCCCACCTCCCAGCATATGGGGCCGGTGCCCTACTCCTTTGAGCCATAGGCACCGCCCTCTGAACTGAGATCTTTAGGTGATCAAGAGTATGGTTAGTTGGGCCTCTGTACAGTATGTGGACAGCATCCTAGCTCTTTCTCCATCAGGTCAAAGCAAGAAGTTGGTTTATACTGTCTCAATCTTTTCAGCTCATCATGGGATGTATACAGGGTTGAGAGTTTTAGACAATCTCTAGGTAGGAGAGATAAAACATAGACTAGATGTATGAAATCTGTTTCTCTATCATGCCTATTCCAGCACCCCAACCTCTAATTTCTAAGTCCTCTATGGTACTATTTTATAGCTCCTCTGAAATAAGGATTTCAGATCCAACTGGTAAGGAAGGACTGTGCATCTGTTGGTCTAGGGATGAAATGGTTCAAATCCATGTGGTAACATTGAATTAGTCTCCCTTTTACTGTTTTCTGATTCTTATTCTGCAATCATTTGTTATTATTTCCCCCAAATGTCCTGATCACTAAGCGAAGCTGCTAGTGGGATTCTGTATTTCATGTCATCTTTTTTATTATAATTTATTGCAATTTTTTTCTGAATAAATATATGTTGTGTGAAAAAGCAAAGTGTGATCTTGATGAGGAAGAATGAGGAGGGAGGGCTTATGTGACGGGGCCCCACTTTGCTACAGTCCCCATCAACTGTGCCTATACTGTCATCACCTAACTTACAGGGACACATTTATAAGAATTCTTAGTATATTTGCCCTCAGAGAAGAAAGAAGCTGTGCATTTTCAGAGTCTGATAAAGAAGTCCCATACTTTCAGAGGCCAGCCAAGTACCTTTATTTTAACCCTAACGATTCAGGCAACAAAATAACTCCATTAGATGAAAGATGTTGGTTCTTAATGCTCATAAATGTCATACTAGGTCAGATCTGTGATCTCTCCAACCCCAGAAATCTGATAAACACTAGCACACACATTTGTGGAGAGCTCAGTTGTCCTTGCTGACATAGCCTCGGTAGTTTAGACATGTTCCCCAAAGAGCCTGTTTTTACATAATACATTTTATAACTCTTGAAAACCAATTTTGAACTTTTATTATCTTTTTGGTTGGTGATGAAGTCCATAAATTTAGTAATTTTTGTTTGTTTGTTTTGCTCTCATCTGAACTCTTAACACTTTGAGAGGAAACCCTGATTTGAGCATGGTTCCATTTTTCCCCTGCCGGTCTCTATTATGAATTTGTGGGTTCTAATCCCATTCTCTTGAGACTGAAGAGGCTCAGCTGGAGGTTTCTTTTCAATCAAGGCCCTCTTGCACTTCCCTCCAACTGTGAGCTTGACCCTGATGAATGTGCTGACATAGTTGTTGTCATGAAGTTTTTCTAGCCCCACCCAAAGCCTTGGCAGAATAAGTGGTTTCTTTTTTCATTCTGTGAGAGTGATTTTACCCCCAGGAGATAGAGCCTGACACCCAGAAGTTTTTACACAGCAGCAGGCAATGTGGCATAGGAGGCACAGTGGTCATCCTTTCTAGACATTAGAGAGGAAATGGCATCCCCAGCTGCTGGGCATGTGTTGTAGAAGAACCATTAGGACCTTTCTGATTGCAGGGCATGTTGAAGAACTGGCTCTTGGTGTAGTCTAATAATCTAAAACAATACGCTGCAACATTGTAATCATTAAATGTTACAGAGAAAAGGTTAGTGGTGATATAGTCCAATCTAATTTTCAAAGTCTCAAAATCTCATTGGGACAATGACCTAAGGTCACTTAGGTTAGTGACACAGGATGGCATAGTGGCATTTTTTTTCCAAACAGTTCTCTGCTTGTCCACTAATCCTCTCATAGCATCTTATCAATTTACATGTCTTTGAATACCTTCTATAATACCTCTGACTCCAAATATTATATCTCCAGCTCATACCTCTCCTCTGTGTTTCTGCCCAATATATATCTAATTAGTTAGCTGATGTGTCCCCTCACATGACTCAAGCTTCATGTGGCCAAACGGGAGTTCTTTTACTTCTAGTTCTTTTACTACCACCTAACCCAGTCCTTTACCAGTCTTCTCACAACTCAGAGAATGTCAGTGCAGTCCACCCAATTACTTGGACTAAGCATGTAGGAGTTAGCCTTGATTTCTCTCTTTCCTACTGACCATCTCGACGATGTGCCCCATATACATTTATTTCTCATCACTTCCCCTGCCAGTTTTATCCCAGGCTACCATGATCCCTTCCCTTTCCCCTACCTAGTCTCCTCATTTTTAACCTTGCCATTGTCCAGTCCATTCTCCACACAGCAGGCAGCATGACTTAATTCCAGAAATTTTATCACTCCTCTGTTTATAGCCCTTTAGTGACTTCCCAGTACATTGACTTTAAAACCTAAGTTTTCCCATGGCCTGCTTGGCTCTATATCAGTGTGTCCCAAATCTTAGTATACAGAAGAATCACCTGGAAATGTTACAGAGCATTTTCTTAGGCCCCACCTCCAGAAATTCTGATTCAGTAAGGTCTGAGATGGGACACAGGAGATCTCAGACCTGCCTACCAGAACCGTTTCCCACCCCCATTACTATACTCTGACACTGTTTTACTCTGTCTGGTAATCTGAGCTCTTTCCCACCTCAGGACCTTTGCATATGCTACTCTCTTTCTCTGCCCCTCCCTCTGTCTCTCTCATGCACACACACAAACACACACACACCTTGGCCTTCATCTTTGTTATGCCTAACCCTAAGTCCCACCCTTCCCAATTACTTTCTCTACTCCCATTCCTGGGCCTCCTGGCAGAACATCCTTGCTGACAGCCCCTGAGCCTTCCATGTACAGTTCCACAGTCTTCCTCTTCAGCTCTTGCTGACCCTTCATATACCTGCTCCATAGGGACTGGCAGGGAGGAAACTGCTGTGGTTCTTCACATAGGCTCCAACAGATTGCTTGAGTTCAGATCCCTGCTCCACCACTTCCTAGGTGTGTGACCTCTCTGTGCCTCAGTTTCTACATCTCCCTCCCCTGGTTTTACTGTGGTATAAGTGACAAAAATTGTATATGTTGAAAATATATCCACATCTTAAAAATAATAATCACACCATTCCTCATAATACCATCCTGAGGATGAAATCAGTTAATATATTTAAAGGGCTTGGAACAGTGCTAAATAAATGGCAGTTAGTGCAATTATTTCAAAACCTCCTATTGGCCTCCAGGTTGGGGCCCCTCTTCTGTTAACCCTTCAGCTTTCAGCAAGTGACCACACCCTTTACTTTATGAAAATGTCAAAGCTGTCCTGCAGAAGCAGCCCTCTCAAGGCCCTGCCCTGAACAAAAAACGTTCTCTAGCTTCACTTCATCCTTCCCCCTCCCACTTGTCTCAGAAATAAGCAGGCTTATGGCTCATGCCTGTAATCATAGCACTCTGGGAGGCCATGGTGGGTGGATTGCTTAAGCTCAGGAGTTCAAGATCAACCTGAGCAAGAGTGAGATCCCGTCTGTAAAAATAGCTGGGCATTATGGCAGGCGCTTGTAGTCCCAGCTACTCGGGAGGCTGAGGCAGGAGGATCTCCTGAGCCAAAAGTTTGAGGTTGCTGTGAGCTATGATATCACCGCAATCTACCGAGGGTAACAAAATTAAACTCTGTCTCAAAGAAAAAAAAAAGGAAAGAAATAAACAGCCTTTCTCCTCACCAAGGCCAACTCTTCCACCTATGCTTTAGAGCCCTTGTCCTCCCACCCTTTCTGAAATTTTCTCCATCACCGTAACTCCTCCCCTTGCATC